GGGGGGGGGGGGCGTTATGCGTAGCACCATTGCATACTTTTCCATCAATCATGGTGAAAAGCATTTTATGCTTAATGGAAAAGCTGTTGACTTCGCTTTTAAATAAGCGCTGTTATTTGCGATTTAATATAGTCCAACTCTTCATTTGTCACATCTGTAGTTTCTTTTATAAATCTTATTCTTATAGGCCAACAGTACCGTGGTGAAGATGGGGTAGGATTTTGCCACAGTATTTTTCTTTCCGGTCCGTAAATCAACCGAAGCGGTACCATGGAACTTTGGAATATGTTTGCGTCCGAATCGGCTTCATTTTCAAATTTCATTGTATACTGCATCTGTTGAGATCCGTCGCAGCCCCATCTACTTATTAATACTAATGATTGTTTTTCTGCTTCACACAATTGTTCCACTGCTTCACCAAGATGTAAAATCAGTCGTTGTGCCGTGTGATCAATGAGATTTTTAATCTGTACTTCAGCGCACCTTTCAGTTACTCTGTGGATTTCAGGATAGCTAGATAGGTATTTGAACGTTCCATTATATTAAATAAATCATTTCGAGTCATGACTCTCACTCCAGAAGAGCCTATAACAAAAATACACCAAATATAAGTAAAACTTCAATTACTGAGTATCGAGCGTGTCTAGGGAAAAAAATCCCCAAAAATAGAGGGGCACTTTGGGGCGGCTATTTCGTACTTAATTAAATTCCTAAAAGGTCTATTCTAAAGCTAATCATTACAATTTTGGAGAAATATATTAAAACTCCCTTTGATCTTCCAAAATGTGTTTTTTAAAAGCAGTTTCTTGAGGCTTACTTCTCAAGGGTATAAATTAAGAAAAGCTATAGATTACTTGTTAAAAGTAAGTGCCAAATAAAATACATACCTGGTTGTGTACAATCCATAATGAAAACTAACACAAAATCGTTCAGTCACAAGATAGCAAATATTTTAAAACAATGAAATCTGAGCGCATCGAACAATCACACGAACACTTTTGGCGAACGGTAACTTCCGACTGAGCCCACGACGTACTGGAAGGGGCCAGCACTTTGTGTTTTTTGCTATTGTTTGGAGCGGTTATCCTTATTTTTGGAAACAATGGCTTAGACTAATATAAAAAAAATCAATTTTGGCCAGCTTTTAGGGCCAAATACCTGTCTGTGCAATGGTATCATTTTGAATGATATTTGCCTCTTATATTGTCATTTTATCCAACTTTATTTCTTTGAAATACTGGTTTTCTGAATTTATGTCTGCATACAAGTGATCAACAAGACAAGAGCATATGGGTTAGCAGGCTCATATAACTGTTTTAAAGGCATCCGGGAATTCGAAAAACCAAGGATCAAATTACGGAATCTAATAATATAATTTACCTTTTCTATGTTTTTGAGAGGGTATGGTTCAAAAATTGGGTTTCTTTTTCTCCTGTAATAATTTTCCACCTTAACGCTCTACACTGGTACACCCGGTACCAGTGTAGAGCTTTTTAGACACACTGAACTGCTGAAGTTTTTGGGTACATACTTCTTGCAGAAGCAGAATTTTTTCTCGTACATGTTCTCAATGCCAAATAAGAGGACTGCAACATGTTTGCACAAGGCATTCCTTCCACTACCAGCAGATTCACAGTGTGAAGCTTCATGATTGCCATTTTTATTTAATACTTTGTCTACTTCATACTGTAGACTCTTCATAGTCTTTCTGCAGTATCTAATTACTAAACTAATTTATAATGTTCAAAAAAGTCGGCGCCCAAAATGGCTTACTTGACCTCACATACAATAAAAGTCCACTTAAACGTTCTTCGTAATACTAAATTCAATTCTAAAGTCTTAACACCATATGTCCTTATTACGGTATTATTTGCCGCGTATAATTTGTAATCACTCACTGAACGCTCATACTTATAATAACTTACGACGACAACATATCGTTAGCGACATATACGACAACATTTCGTTAGCGACGGATATTGTTCAAGCTATCTGTATTTTACATAATTTCTTACGACGTGACGGTGAAGAACTTTCTAATAGTAGTCTCTTAGTTCAAGCCAATCAAATAAATGAGGAGGTTCAAAATAAACAGAATTTGTCAGCAACATCAATTCGCGATAAATTTGCAGAATACTTTGTTAACGAAGGACAATTATCATGGCAAAATAACAAAATTTGATTGAATGATTACCTGCTGAATTTCTTTCACCACTAGTTTTATTTTTAAAATCTTTTTGTTTCCGTGCGATTGCTGTGTTTGTCACTTTTGGAGTTCCATATAGCAGGATGTATTCCAATTTCATTTATGAAATCTTCCACGTTTATATCATCAATTTTTAGCAAATACGTAAATGAAAATTTGATGCAATTAACGTCTATTCACTGCACTATTCAACACGGAAATGTACACGTGATGCTTGCGACCTTGCCGTCCTGTTGTCGAGCGTTCGCGGTACCGGCGCCGCACTGTTGCCGCACCGAGCTTTTTGTATGAAAAAAAAGGATCGTCCGTCCGCATTACGTCTAACGCACCGCTTCGGCACCGGAGCGGTCCGACACGAAACGCATAAATTGAAAGCGCCGTATAAGAGGCTGTTGTATATTTAAAATGTTTATATGCAGGAACAACTAAAACTGCAGACCGCCATTAGCACACTGTTTTATTTCTAAATATAGCATAGACAATATACAAATACAAGCATAGACAATAGTCTTGTAATAACTTTAACGTAACTTGTAATAACAAGTGGCCAGTGGTAATCTATTGCACAGATAACAAATACACAACATTTCCTCCCCTTATTTGACCCAAATATCAACAAGGATCATAATGAAATTAAATATTACAAATAAGGCTTATAATCTACGGGAGGAATGTTTCTCAGTAATCTATTTGAACACCTCGAAACTGGTCGCTCCGGCACGGTTATTGCGGAGCATGAAGAGGGCAAGTTCGTGGTATCACTTCCCTCTTCCCCCACGGTTGGCTCGGGAATCCTACCGGCTGGCGAATTATTGAGACTTTCATAATCATCAAAGTCATAATGTTCTTGTGCTGGTTGTAGGACATTGTTATTGCCTAAAATAATTTGATTCTTATGCTTTTTGACGTCACCCAAAGTATTAGAATCATGAATCAAATACAATACTTTCCCTAGCTTCTTTTTAATGACACCTTTACACCACTGATATTTAAAATTGTTTACATACTTTTTATATAATATTTGGTCGCCAGGCTTAAACACTTGTTTATTGTTTCCCTTATTTGACTTAATTTGCGAGCACTGTTGATGTACAACGTTATCAATAAGAGATGTGGGCGAGGACGACGGCGTTCTAGGGTTAAGTAAATCTAACCGCGACCTAAGTTTACGGCCGTATACTAGCTCAGCTGGTGAGAACCCTGTGACAGAGTGGACGGAATTCCTATAATCGAAAAGGTATTTTAATATCTTCAACTTACACGCTTTCTTATTTCGTGAAGACAGAATACTCGATTTAATGCCCTTTTTCACAATTTTCACAAAACTTTCTGCCTGACCGTTACTAGCTGGGTTATAAGCTGGCGATGTCAAGTGGGTAATACCGTTTAAAGAACAAAAATTCCTAAACTCGTAAGACGTGAACGCGGAGCCGTTGTCGCTTACGATCGTATGAGGTAAACCATATTTTGACATAAAATCGTATAACTTTTCTATAACCATTGTTGAAGCAGTAGATGAGCTTACATCATATACTTCTACCCACTTGGTATGTGCATCTACTACGACTAGAAACATTTGGTTATTTACTGGTCCTAAAAAATCAATGTGAAGCCTGTAAAATGGCTCTGTAGGGTACTGCCACGGAGCGAGCGGTGCTCGAGCTGGAGACGGTCGCAGCTGTTGGCATACTTCACAGGACCTTATCATCGTTTCTAATGCCGCGTCTACCCCCGGAAACCAAAAACGCGACCTGGCTTCTGCTTTCGTTTTCACTATCCCTAAATGTGAGTTGTGTAGCTCTAGCAAGACTTTGGTACGTAATTTTTCAGGTAGAACGACCTTATATCCTCTCATTAAACACCCGTTCTCGTACGATAGCTGTGTTCTACATAAATAGTAAGGTTTCATTTGTTCATCTAATAATAATGTCTTTGGCCAACCATTAAGGACATAATTAATAACCTTCATTAATACAATATCTTCGCTAGTTTCCTTACGTAATACATTCAAAGTTACTGGTATGTTGCCTTCAACAACAAAGTGTACGTACGTAGCGCGATCGATAAGCGCAGAGGTAGCGGCGGCGTGTGCGTCGCCCTCTGTTTTGTCTTTCGATCGCTCAACCTCGCGCAAACTTGCACGAGATAAATAGTCAGCATTGTTGTCGGTACTTCGAACATATTCGATTGTATAGTTATATGCGCTTAAAAACATCGCATACCTTTGCAACCTGTTAGCCGAAACTTCTGGTATCCCTTTATATGGGCCAAATATAGATATCAGAGGTTTATGATCTGTACGTAAAACAAACGGCTCCGATCGCCCATATAAATATTGATGAAACCGTTTCACTCCAAATATAATCGCAGTTGCTTCCTTTTGTATTTGTGAGTATTGTTTCTCTGCAGTATTCAAAGTACGAGACGCAAACGATATCGGGCGTTCTATACCGTCATTATCTATTTGTGATAGAATGGCGCCCAGACCGTACGGCGATGCGTCTACCGTCAAAATTATGGTAGATTTATAATTGAAGTGTGTAAGTACTTGTTCAGATGTTAAAATGTTTTTTATTTCACGAAAAGCGTTTTCATGATCTGTGGTCCACTTCCACTTGATACCTTTTTTAACAAATCGTACAACGGACAAAGAATACTCGATGCTTGAGGAACGAAATTTCGATAATAATTAACCAACCCAAGAAATGACTGCAATGTGTTAACATTTGTCGGAACCGGAGCGTCTGTAATGGCTTTTACTTTGGATGGATCTTTCTGTAACCCGAACTTACTAATTACGTAACCTAAATACTGAATCTCGTCTTTAAAGAAGTCGCATTTATTTTTTTGTAAAGTTAACCCCGCATCTTGTAACCTTTTGAGAACTACCTGTAATCTTTCCATGTGCAATTCACGTGTCTCGGCGGTTATCAAAATATCGTCGAGCAAACATAACACGCCATCTAACCCGGACAGCAAAGATTCCATCGCTCGTTGAAATATTGAGGGTGCGCTCGACAGACCAAACACTAGTCGCGTGTAACTAAACAATCCGCGGTGTGTATTAATACACGTGAACTTTTGTGATTCCTCGTCAAGTAAAAATTGGTTGTATGCCATCGATAAATCTATTTTTGAAAATTGTTGACCACCATGTAATTTTGAGAATAATTCATGGATTGTGGGTAACGGATACTGTTCAATTTCCAACAACTTATTAATCGTGACAGAATAGTCCGCACATAGTCGTACTGAACCGTCACGTTTAAGCACCGGTACGATAGGTGATGCATATTCCGAGTGTTGAACCGGTTTCAACACCCCTAAACTTACTAAACGTTCCAATTCCTTATCAACTTTATCACGTAATGCAAAAGCAACGGGCCGTGCTTTATAATAAACTGGTTTAGCATCGTTTTTTAATCTTAACTTAACCTTAAAAATTTTAAAAACGCCTAACTTTTCGGAAAATACTTCAGGGAACTGTAACTGTAATCTTTCAACTACGCTTTGACTATTGCCGCTAAGAAAGTTGATTGAAGCTAACCGTAACTTAAATTTCGCTATAAAATCTCGCCCTAGTAGTGGTGGGCCGCCATGACGTATAACATACACGTCGAGTACCTGAGTGCACTGCATATAAGTCATCGACAAAGACACATACCCGATACACTTCATTAAGCTACCTGTATAACTATAGAAACGCTTCTGGGACGCTCGCAACGGCAACCAGTAAAACAATTTGTTGTAGGTACTCTCAGATATTACAGTCACTGCTGATCCACTATCGATTTGAAATTCTACATTTTTATCATTAATTGTAACCGTTTCTGTCAAAGGTTCCCCCCGAGCAGAATGTATATTATACAAAAAAATACCATCATCATCCTCGTTCACATCCGCCGTTTGCACGAAGTTAACCTTGCTACACATCTTACGCAGATGACCTACAACGTTGCACTTTTTACACTTATACTTCGCGAACCGACACTCCGAAGACGTATGATTTACGCGGCCACATACCGAACACTTATTTTTCCCGGCACTTTCACTGGTGGGTCTAGCACTATTTTGTTCTTTCACGATTTTGAACACTTGAGCTCGTTCCGCTGCGGTCGCGGCAGCGCCTGCGCGTGCACACTTGACGCTTTCTGCCACCTCCACCGCCTTCGACAGGGTCAATTCCGCCAAGTCATAAGCGAACAGCTTCTCTCGTTCCCGACCCGCTTCCATTCCCATGACGAAGCGATCACGCAAAGCCTCTTCTACATTGCTAAACTCACAATGTACCGTGAGTCCTCGTAGTCTCGCCGCCCACTGGGTATATGACTCGCCGGGCTGCTGCGTGGCTGCGTAAAAGTTGTGGCGCTCACTGAAACCGCATCGTTTTGGAATGAAATGATCATCCAACAGTTTCACTAGATCATCATATGGCACGTGTTGCACTTCTTTAGGCAAAGCCAAATCCGCTGCCAGTTTGAATGTGTTGTCATTGAGTGCGCTGAGCAGGATCGCCCGTCTCTTGGTTCCCGTCACATCGTTTTTAGTGTCTATGTCGTTTGCAATGAACCACTGCGTCAACCGACCTTTATAAGTTTTCCAGTCATTTATATTATGATCAAAAATCGATAATACACCGACAAATGACTGCGTCATTTTCTTAGCCGTCGATCGACGAACAAATATTAAACAATGTGGGTAAAATTCCTCGTCGCCAATTGTTGTATATTTAAAATGTTTATATGCAGGAACAACTAAAACTGCAGACCGCCATTAGCACACTGTTTTATTTCTAAATATAGCATAGACAATATACAAATACAAGCATAGACTATTACAAGTGGCCAGTGGTAATCTATTGCACAGATAACAAATACACAACAAGCCACCAGCAACTGCGCCATAAGTTGGAAATAGATGTGCTGATGATGCAAAAAGAAAAACTATCTTTGGAACTAGTATTTTAGTTCTAAGTGTCTATTGAAATGTTTACAAAATAAAAGTGTTCATTAATAAAATTTCTTCTCATTATTGCACCCCTTACAGTATCTCTATGAGTTTGTGTCCTTGTACGCTGACGAACATATCGTACAATATCAATATGTTCATTCATATCTATCACTATCTTATGTAGCACTACTAATGCTACTATGGTTACTTAAGCTGTGCTCAACTTCATGAACATTCCTCTCAAATGACATCTAAATCTTTGTTTCCATAAGCCAAAGCACTGTTCCACTGTATTCCTTGTTTTTATATGAGCTCTGTTATAAGCTTCCTCCTTGTCATTACTAGGATTAAGTAAAGGTGTAAAAAGAAAAGGAGTACATGCATATCCACTGTCACTAAATAATCTTCCGTGAAATTCACCCCTTTCAAATCTTTGTAATATAAAACTTTCATTGAAAATTCGGGAATCGTGTACACTTCCTCTCCATCGTGCAACTATGTCCCTAATTTTCAAATTCGAGTCACAGATGATTCGTGCGTAGGGAAATATCCCTTTCTGTTGACATAAGCTTTACCAATTTCGCCACCCAGTTTTTTTACTCTTATATGGGTGCAGTCTATCGCTACAATCACAGTTGGGAAACCACAAATACTTCTGAATCCTCTTATTGTGCCGTGTTGCTTTTCTAGAGAATTTGGCATGCTAATAAATAAATGGGCTTTCTTACCCAGTGCTTCTGAAACATTTTTGCAAATTTTACTGACTGCTTGTTGTGAAATGCCATGCATGTCTCCACTATCATCTTGAATCTGTAAAAAATATAGTAATGATTAAAATATTATTCTAAAACTCGGGAATTACCTAATTCAATTAACTCGTCGAGTACCGGTTTTGTAGACACAATTATAGAACAATAGGTTGCGGTCACCGGTGACCGCTTGGTGTTTGACAGTTTAAACTGTCAAATACCAAGCGGCACGCATATAAAATTAAATAATAATTTCGTTGAATAGCATATCAACGTACCATGTACTGTCATTAAGTATTATTAAACTGTCAAACACCAAGCGGTCACCGGTGACCGCAACCTATTGTTCTATAATTGTGTCTACAAAACCGGTACTCGACGAGTTAATTTGATTTTAATTTAATTTTGGTTATTTTAATTTATGTGTATAATATATATCTGCATAATGTGGTTCACAAATTACGTGCGATACGTCGCTTAGTCAATGACATCAATTGCTATCTCTTTCCACGTGTATAGTGAATGAAAACGGAAATAAGCTGACTAGTTCGTCACGATCTTTATGTGCTAGGCAGGTTAACAAGTGTTTTTTTAAAAGTGCAATTACTTACCAGGTACCGCATTCATCCAAAAAACTGATGTAGTTAGATAAAATGATAAATTTCCGATCACACTTAAAACAGGCTTTGGACTGTCAAGTTAGCATAACAATCGTATTTTTTTTAACTTAACCCGTATCTTCCCAAGTCCTCAAAACTTATTCGATTAAGTCGAAACTTTCAGAATTACTTTTAAGTAGCCCAATAATATATAACCAATAATATGCAACAAAAAAAAAATTTCGATTTCCTTTATTTCAGTTACAGTACCGATCCAAAAATGGATCAGTAGGAGAATATGCCACTGTATTTTGTGTGTACGTATTGTGAGCTTCTTAGGTTATTGATTGTAAATAATGAAAGATATTTATGCAGAATATTATTTATTGTGTAAATTAAAACATATTTTTATTATAAATTAAATTAGCATTAAAAATTTTATTTTATATGAAAATCAGGAGAACATTTTTGGTGTAGGACGACGTTGCATTTGGTACATTTCATTGTGGTGTTTTTATGACACAACCCACAACGGTTTTGTTTTTCACTTTTCACAATATAATGTGCCTTTCCATCTAACCTAATATCAATTGGAACGCGTTTTATGACAGCTAGAGATGATCGTGGAATAGTCTTATTAGATGATGATGATGTAGATGATAAATTATCAGTATAAGTCTGAAGATATGTCGTTACAACATGTCTTGTGAATGACAAATAGTCATGCTGATTGTGTTGTGAAGCTGGTGATAGCTTATATAACTGGAAAGCATTATTCATACAAGCATTTATTGGAAACATAAGCAGCTGCCAGTACCACCTCTTCAAGCGAATAGAAATTCTATAGCAGCCCACATTTTGATCCAAACGATCAACACCGCCCATGTATTTGTTGTAGTTGACGATACAGCGAGGTTGGTCGACGTCTTTCTTTTGCTTGTCACAGTAACGTTTTACCTTAGCTACAGGCGCCACACCACATTCGGTTGAGGCCACGGTAACAATATTGTTGTCATTATAACGCACTAAAGTGATATCAGTCAAAGTATCTGTACACTGGTCGAAAGACCCTCTGCTCATTTTCTACATTTCTTTAGCTTCTTTCAAGGGTGCCTTTTCTACTCTGTTTGCTCTAACCGTTTCTGTTGCATCGTGTCCTAAGGTTTTTATTTCATCCAACAACGGCAAAGACGTAAAATAATTATCCATATAAAAGCTGTAAGTACCTGGCGGCAATTTGGATATGAGGTCTAAAACAACAGAAGCACCTACACCAAGTTCTGGGTGGGTATTTCCTGTGCTTGCTCCTTGATACAGCTCTCCGTATATCAAATAACCAAGACGAGTACAAATAGACCAGTTTTTATAGCCAAAACCGGATGAGCTTGCCATGAATATGTTGTTTTGTCCTATGTTTCCCGAAGTATGGTATCATGGATTCGTCAATACTTAGATTCCTATCACCAGGATAATATTTTACCCATCTATTATTGAGAAGATTCCAGAGAGGACGAATGTTTGCGAACTTATCCTGTGGATCCAAGTTAGTATTATCGGCGACGTGAAAGAATCGTAACAGTTCTTCGAATCTATTCCTAGACATAGCAGCTGCCACACCTTGAAAATTACAATCAACACTTTGCTCCCAATACATTCGATATCTAGCAACACTGTTGTAACCCGATAACAAGAGAATCCCTATAAATCGTTTTATTTCTTCAGTTGTAACTTTGAAATTATGGAAACCTTTTTTTATTGCATTTTTTCGGTTTCAGAGCGAATCAATTCAAATACGTCTTTGTCAAAAAAAAGTTCAAAATAGTGCACAGGAGTATCTAAATTTTCTAAAAAATGTGGTGGCTCTGATATTTTTTCTGGCTTTACTGGTATGTCTACTTGCCTCCATTTGCGGGTAGCTGAGCATTTTTTTTTTCTTGGCTGGTGGTTGTACTGCTAAATCGTCGTTTGTGTTATTATTTGTAGAAGGTTCATTTGATATGTCTTCTATGATATCTAAATTAGACTGTGAAGATACAGTAGCCCTAAATTCAGCCTGTGCTAAAAGTTGCTGCCTAGAAAGGTGATTTATATTCGATGACTCCTCATCTCCACTGTCTTCATCACTTTTGTCATAATTATCCGGGGGTGTTATCTAGATTACCGCAGACAATACGTCATCTCTGTCTTCCAGATGCGATATTATTTCATTTACCGATAATCTACAACAAAATAAACGCAAAATAATAAATAACAATTATTTTACTACATAAAACGTTCCATATCCATATTATCCTACTGATTCATTATCGGACGGGTAAACATAAAAGTAAAAAATAAATGTAAAAAAGCTAAACTTGCTTTTCACTGTCTTACAATATGATAACTTAATACCTAAGCGATATAAATACGATACAATAATTGTTAATTATTCATAAAAAAGTAATAAATACTTACATTCGCCGATGAGACATATTTTTTTACAATTTTATCAAAATGCAGAGGGTAAGAAAACACAAATTTCGCGTCTGACGGAATATCTGACAAATGAATTTGGCGGCAAGAACTATCAGTGCTACCAACATAACAAAAAAAAAAATGGCTGCGTTCACGAAAATTTTATAAAAAAATAAAAACGTAACCGATCCAAAAATGGAACACTGGGATGATAAGTTAATATCAAATAACGAGAAAGTGTAACTTGGCGTGATTAAAAATTAATATTCTTATTTACAACAATTGTACCATATTTACAGTTATTTACACACGTCGTATTTTTAATTAGACGAAGTCGACTGACTTTTGCTGTGTTGTCAGTTTTTGATGAAATAAAAATAGTGTTGCGACAAAGTGAATGATTAAAAAAGCAACTAGATGAATGAAATTGTCTCGATCGTCTAGTGAATTAATTGAAGTAGTTGAAACTACAGATAAGGTAGGTATTGATAATAAAAACAACGCTAATAACATCATTTGTTTTTAATCATCAACAGATAAAAAATCATCGCTATCACTATCGGTGATATTAATAATAAAGTTGTCTGACACATTGTCAATCATGTGGCCAAGGCCATACATTTTGTCTTCTTCTTTAATAACGTGAGACACGCAACTACTCCATTTTTCTGCTGTGATGAGTTGAAGTCCTTCTTCAGACAGTTTTTTAACTTCTGGCATTTTGAAAGTTTTGTTATTTCTTGCCACACGTCCTTTGGCCTGCGCCCATACCAACTCAATAGGGCAATTAAGCTCACAGTGGTATGGGGCAGACGTAAAACAGTAATTCCATGGTGTGCTGCCATCTCGTCCACAACAAACTTTTCCGAATATTGGTGTTTGTGCTGCCGTACAATGTCTATAAGAGTAGCTTTAATCATTGTTGCTTCAAATGCGATTTTTTTGCTTGTTA